AGTAGAGTCTCAGGATCTAAAATATTTTTATTATTTCAGAGGCAGAGGGGACAATGAGAGAGAGAGACATACAGACTTACCTACAGCCAGTTTACTCCTCAGCTGCCCACAACAGACCAAAGCTGGGAGCTGAGAACTCAATCCAGGTTCTTACATGGGTGGGAGGGACTGAACTACTTAAGCCAGTATCTGCTGCCTCCTGAGGTATGCATTAGCAGGAAGCCAAAATCATGAGTAGAACCAGAAGTCAGACACAGGCATTCTGATAGGAATACAAATGTCCCAACTAGCAGTTTAACTGCTGGCCAAATTTTGCCCCATGGGCTTAATTTGTTGAAAATTATTTTGCTAGCTAAGATTCTAAGTTGACAGTTTTTATGTTGACAGTTTTTATGTTTTGAATCCCCTGGACTTAGAATATATCATCTCAGGCCGGTGCCGCAGCTCACTAGGCTAATCCTCTGCCTTGCAGCGCCAGCACACCAGGTTCTAGTTCCGGTCGGAGCTCCGGATTCTGTCCCGGTTGCCCCTCTTCCAGGCCAGCTCTCTGCTGTGGCCAGGGAGTGCAGTGGAGGATGGCCCAAGTGCTTGGGCCCTGCACCCCATGGGAGACCAGGAGAAGCACCTGGCTCCTGCCATCAGATCAGCGAGGTGCGCTGGCCGCAGCGCGCTGGCCGCGGCGGCCATTGGAGGGTGAACCAACGGCAAAGGAAGACCTTTCTCTCTGTCTCTCTCTCTCTCACTGTCCACTCTGCCTGTCAAAAAAAATTTTAAAAAAAGAAAAAAAATTAAAAAAAAAGAATATATCATCTCACTGCCCTGTGGCATCCACTACTTCTGATAAGAAGTCAGTTGTTAATCTATTGCTCCACTTGTACCTGATGAGTCATTATTTTTTCCCACTTTGAAGATTTTTTTCTTTCTACATTTTTTTTTGTTGTGATTTATCTAAGTTTGAATCTCTGTTGGATTTTCTTGGTATTTTAAAGTGTGCATTAATATTTTTCATAAATTTCAGCACATTTCAGTTACTTATTCAAAATTTTTGCTGTTCCTTTTGGTGTCTCTTCTCTTTCTTCACTACCCATTATTTTTGTGTTATTGTACTTACTGGTGCCCTACAACTCTTTGAGGCTATTATCTTTTCTTCCTGTTGTTCTTCTGTGTTCCTTTGATTGTGTAATATATAATTAATCTGTTTTCAAATTCACTGCTTTTTCTGTCTGCCAGTTCAGATCTGTTGTAGAGTCCCTCCAGTTAATTTTTCATTTTAGTTATTTCACTTTCCAACACCAGAATTTCCAGTTTGTTCCTTTTTCTATTATTTCAATCCATTTATTTCTATTTTCTATTTGATAAAACATTGTGGTCACACTCCTGTTACTTCTTCAGGCACAGTTTTCTTGAGTTCTTTGACTAGATTAATAGTAGATGTGGGAAGACTTTCTGCAAAGACCTGCTGGTACTTTGCATGTGAGTCACATTTTTCTGTCATTTTCCATGTCTCATTATTTTTGTGTGATTTAGACATGTTAGTTACTATATTTTCACATTTATGGTTATGGATTGCTTCCTTTCCTCTCTGGGCTAGTTGCTTTCTTACTTATTTGCTAAGTGACATAGATGGTCTGTGGTAGTGAAGCCTGTGCCTCCGGCATTGTGAAGTCACTCATGTCACTGCACAGAAGGCACACACTCAGGCATGTGCACTGTCACACTGACAGTGTCTGAGCAGGGCTTTCTTGGACTGCTTACCCCCAGTCTCTGCTAAGCAGCTTCCTCTGGTATCACACCCAGCTTCAGGCTCCACTGATTTCTGTCCTCATCGTTCTCTACAGTGTGGTGAGTCAAAAATCACAGACTGATGCAGTGAAATTCAGGCTCCTCTTCAGGGCTCATTTGATGAGCCACTCCTGGAGGGTAGGTCTGGCTCCAAGGTGGCTCTCCTCATCTCTTCCCCGGCTCTGTCTGCGCATTAACTTACCTACGGTTTATATTCTTGCCTCAGTGAAGCCAGGAGGCTCCCTCTGACATTTTACCTTCGAAATATCCATTATTTCTAAGAGTATTCTTAGGCTGTAACCTCCTCCACACTTTGCCCCAAATAAATTCAGTTCCAGTGCAAGGACTTTAGAGATATCTCTGTTCTTACTGCCTGCTTCTACTCTTGGGTGAAATCTTTCGGTCATGAATGTGATTCTGAGAGCGGTGATTTCTCCTGGAAATGACTCCTGGCTTGTAAGTGGGGTGCTTAGTAGTGCCAGTAGCCTGCAGTCTTTTCTTTTTACCTGTCCTTGTCTTGAACCTGTCATCTACAAGTGAGCCAAGGCAGTGGTGATTCAAGCTCTGATAGCTTTGAGCCTGCTGTGCCTGGGGCGTTGTCCCTGTCCTACACACTGGGGCTGCATGTAATTTATTCTGTGCAGCATGGACTTGGGCTAGAGTGAGGATGAGAAGTGATGGTGGCTTTTTATCCCAGTGAGCCACTTGTAGCCTTTGACTCCAGGGAGAGGAAACCTGACAGCACGTCCTTTTTTGGCCACACCCATTTCTGTAGACTTTCCTTCTTTCACAAATATGGGATTATTTTCCAGAAAAGTTGTTTTGATCAGATTCTTCTCACTTGAGTTTGTATAATCTAAAGTCAAGTATTGATTGATTATGTGAGAAATAATGGATAATTAAACATAGTATCAAAATTTGATAGATTTAATGTGACTTACTGTTGAAATTACATCTGATTTTTAGCAAACCTTTTACTGTTCTACACACATAATCCAAAACCAGTTTGGTATAAACTTACTGTGAAAGTTATATCTGATATATAGGGATACTGTCACTCTTCTGGGGGGCATCACCTAAAAATATATAAAATGGCAGAACAATTTAAAGGCATTGAATGTGACATTAATTGATGATACAAAAATAGCATTTCTCCTTGTTAAACAGTGCATTATTGCTTCTTTTTCCTAGTTGAACATTTTTTTCCTAGTAATAGTACAGACCTGAGCTGGGAATTTGCAGTACCAGTTCCCTGTCCCTCTTTCTCCCTGTGCTCACCTCATTATCCATCTTCTACGTCCTGACTCAGAATCAGGAAACCAGAGCTGTACAGATTCTGCCTTCACCTGGACGTACAGCTAGACCTGGCTTCCTTTTTGGAGGCACTGCTAGGGAGAGGCACTTTTTTGTGAGCCACTATCCACCAGATGTGGTGTCTACTGGTTCTCCCTGTATCTCCATAGATGGATGCTTTTGAATCCATAGTTTCATCCTTGATATTTTAGACATTGATTGTTTTTACAATCAGGCTATTGTTTAAATTGTGTGTAACCTGAAACCTGGTTTTCATTGGATAGGAAAGAGTTGAAGCCAGCCATTGAGTGCAAGTACTCCCAGGAAATAAGGCTGCAGGCAAAGTTGCTAAATGGTTTGATGAGGATGATTTTGCAGAACAGGAGGGCTCTTGGGCCTTTTCAGTGTCCTATCAAAGGGCAGTTGTGTGTTGAGAGTATTCCGGTTCTGTCTGGTGCTGAGGGCCTTCTTGTAATGTGATGGTCATCGCATGGCTGACAAGGGGAACCCAGCTCAGACTGAGAGCCAGGAGGCACTGAGGTGCTGGGTTTATAGACTACTGTTTTATTATTTCAAAACAAGCTATATCTGCACATATCTGGGCGGTAATTTTGAAGTCGGGACTAATATAAAAACAGATCATGGAAAAAAAGAGAAAAGAAAATGTTAATTTGGTCACCTGTCAAGGTCAGTTACTCAGTCTTTATACTAAATGTAATTGTCCCGTGCCTTACATGCAAGGATCCCTGCCTGAGAGGAAAGTGATTTTCAGGATTAGAGGGAGGGCTCAGGGTTACACAGCCAGTCAATGGGAGAGCTTAGATTTCAACCTGACTAGCCCCACTCTATGCCTGCAAGCAGATGAAGGTTAGTGACGTTATGGGCATAAGCACCTGAATTTTTATTCCAAGTTCTTCTCCCCACAGAGACAAAGAATTCAAAGTAGAGGGACAAATATAGTGCATGAGTGAGGGCAGGCTTTATTTAAAAGTGAGAGTGGACATAGTGTGAGTGTGGGCCACCCCACATTGAGAGATAACTGTCGCAAATGGGCCAGAGAGTGGCCTATGAGAAAGGAGCTTTGTAGGAGGCCAGAGGGCACATAAGGAAAGTACAGAGGCCAGAAAGCAAAGAGGGCCATTCGCACATGTGTGAAAGTTCCTTTGATGCAGTAGGGGTGGCATCCTAATTGAATACACAAATGGGGTGGAGTCTGGATGGGGTTTAGTGTGTGTAAGACTTTCTGGGAGTTTCATGGTGCCTCCACATGGAGCTTAACTTCCACATGGCCATATAGCATCCTCTCCTTCCTGGTCCTGGATGAGACTGGGCATATTGAACTGACAGGTTATGGGGATGAAGTTAAGTGCAGGACTTTACAGAACTTGTAAAAAAATTTCCAGCTTCATTTATTTCTACCTTGCTCCCTGGTTAGCTCCCATATATCAGAAAGAGGATTCTCTTACTTGTTTCTATGAGACTTACTACATTCTCACTATAATCACTAATACATACATGCCACAAGGGTTCTGTGTCCATCATATGTCAAAATTTAAGGTGTAAATCTCAATTTCCCACATCTAAGGACATTTGCAACGATGGGTATTTTCTTTACATTCTGCATCCTGGGCACTTCAGACACTTTCTTGGAGCCTTATGAAAGGATTATTTGTCCCCAGCTCAGCTGTCCAATTAGATTATGCCCTTCTCCAAGGCAAGGGCTACATTTCTCCTGAGGTCTCCGAAGCACGTGGCCTGCAATAAGGGGCCTTTCTCTTAGGTTCACCTGCAAATGTGCTGAGTCAAACCCTGGCAGATCAATTTCAGTCTGTTCTCAGGGAGTTGGCTTAGAACTCACACTCCATGGCATTCTCTGTCTTGCTGTTAACTGAGAAACTTTTCGTTTTGGTCTGGATTCATCTCAGCAGATTTAAAGAAAGCCTCCAGTTCCAATGCTGCAAAATCCAGTCTACCGAAGTCTGGACTCCGTCCTCCTGGCTACTCACGTCTCCCAGCAGCCAAGCTGGCGGCGTTCGGCTTCGTGCGGAGTTCCAGCGTCTCCAGCACCCAGTCGGTGGACAGCGTGCAGCCCGAGCCCAGCAGGCCGGCCAGCCGTAAGTGGGGCGGGGGGGGCGGGCGGGGCACCTGGGCTGTCTCGGGCAGACAGGGTGCTGGGGATAAAGATGGCTTGCAGTGTAACTGTGTGTTATTTTCCTTGCATGACTGGTGGAGTATTTGGATCTCTGCCTTTCGTTGGCCATTGTCTTTTAATCATCTAGTTAAGAAACACCGCCTGTTACTATCATTTTCTCTGTTGTGGGGAGTTAATGTGCCAGGAAAAGATTCTAAAGCTCCCCTTACAATCTAGAGGACTGATCCAGGGACTGATTCTGGGAGCCCATGGCTTCATAGATTTCGACTAAGAAGTCAAAGACCCAAGAAGGGTGTTAACGGTACTGTGCCATCATGAAGCGTATTAGACATTAACAACAGCTGAAGGAGTCGTTTGGTCAGTGTCTTATGTTGGTGGAGCATTTGATTGGATTTCTAACAGATGACTAAATGGTGTTAAACACGGGAGGCTCTGTGTCCTCGCCCAGGAAGGTAAAGTCCCCAGTAGCTGAGACTGCTGCTGCAGGCCTGTTCCCCGAGGCTGATGTTGTAGACTGTTTTAAAGTGTGAATTAGTCACCTTCCCAGCAAGTCACAACAGCCAGCGTGGGGTCTGGAGGCTCCCATTTGGCTGAGCTTGTGATGACACACCTCAGCCTCATCAACTTCAAAGTCACGGCTGCTGGTTCTGAAGCTGTGACAGCTCAGATGCTGATTGTCAGGAACTTGCCAGAGGCCAGGAAAGTCTCAGAGGTGCTCACGTGCAGAGCTGCTTGGAAGGGATCATAGAAGTGCGGCAAGTGGGAGTAGTGAGAGAAGGCAGCGAGGAGAGATAGAGGATTTTTTCAGTTTTCTTTCTCCGAGGGTCTTTTCTGTCTTTTATTTTTTTTATGCAGAGGGAGGCGTGAGGTGGTTTGCAGAGATGATGAGGGAAACGTTTGTACCTTTCCAGTTCTAAGTTTTGGTCTATTTAGCTATTCCTAAAAATAACTTAATTTTCCTTTGTCTTGATATATTTGTCAGCGGGCTCTTGGGGGTGTTTCTGTGGTTTGCCTGGTTTTCTGAAGGCACTGTGGCTCAGCTTTCAAATGGGGATTCATTTTAGGACCATCACTGCATCTTAGAGATTACATCATTATGTGACAGATATCTCAAAATCTACACCATGCTAAGCAGTAAAGATTATTTGCAAGTATGTGATCCTAGTTTTTAGATGTGTGTGTGTGTGTGTGTGTGCACAGTAGCAATCTGAAGATTTTGAAGTACAGGAGGAACTATTTATGCCATCATTTTTTGTAATAAAATTCCCAGTGACATGTTTCTCTTTAAGAGAGAGAATTAAAAGAAAAAAGCCTCGTATGGTGTGTGTCTTTCCAAGGAAGCAGTTTGGATTTTGATTTCTTACAAAGAAAAACAATACACCTCATGGTGAGTTAAGCTGTGTCCCTGTGTCAGCAGCTTCGGTTAAAAGAGAGCTGACAGGTGTGGACAAAATAATCCCAGCTGTGCTAAGGACATTTTCTTCTCACCTCTGCGTCTAAGTATTGTGGGGACTGGGTCTCCAACTGGGCTCAGAGAGATCGCCAGCTAGACTGAGTTCAGGTTCATGTCTTCCTGTGTGCAAGAATACAACTGGGAGATGTAGATAGAAGTGAACAGAAAAGCAGGATTTACTGAGAGGCAGAGGGATAGTACACACTCAGATGTGAGTGTGGGCAACCTCATGGGGAGAGTTGGCCTTACCTGTCAGGATCTGTTACACCACCATTGAGTGCAAATAGTTTATCCCAAACCTGGTGAAACTGGGCACCAATAGTTAACCCTACACTTGGTGACATTTCTATTGCCCAGTATTCGGCTGTCCCAGCATTAATTGTACACGTGCCTCACCTGGGATGTTCTAAACCTCTAGAACAATACATTTACAATGTATAAAGAATGTATAAGGAACTTTGGTCAACAATTGCCAACAACCTTATTTCAGACCCTGCCAAACTGTCTTTTCTAAAACAAAAGTCTTTTTCTGCCTTGACTAGTGATCTCCAGGACTTCTTTGGATTAGAAAATTCTAAACCTAACACCACCCAGGCTGAGGTTGAGCTTTTTATAGGATAAAGAGTGGTACCTGGGGCAAGGCCCCATTGAATGTTCAATGGAGGCAGGGTATAGGGTGGGGCCACAGCACAGGTGTTCTCCAGGAAGGGGTCCTGTGGTGTCTGGCCTATGATGGGGAGAGGGGCTGAGCTGCGTGATGTGGAGTGGCTGAGCCGAGTCTTCAGCCGTATTGCACTGGGTGGAACATGATGGGATTTGGGTGGTGCACATGGCCTAGGTGTTAGCATTCTTTAGCTCCTCACCACTCACTAACTACCTGCCTACCCATACTGGAAGGGGTACCAATAGGAGCCCCCTGAGTACCCAGAAAGACAGGCCTGTTATGTGCCAAAGAAGATAACTCCTAATTTAAAGACTTCTCTCTCTTTTTAATTTGAAGTAAAAGTAATTCTTTATTAAGGTAAAATGATTTTCAGAATGGGTCGCCCAACAAACCCAACAGTGTACTGTATGTAAGAGATGCATCCAATCAAAAAGGCTTGGAAAGTTTGATAATTAAATATACAGCAGAGAAATAGAAAACAAAGAAAGTAGGGGATGTATGCATTACTATCTCATATTAAGGAATTCAATACAAAGACCATACAGTTAGGAAAGGGGGTATAAGGGATATAATTCAGTGGAATTAATATGACATCCACATTTTTTACCATATATGATATATATTAAACAGTTTTGCATTAAAGTGATACTCTAGTCAGAATTGTTTTCTCTTTATGTATGCTAGACTTGATTCTCAGTTGTCTGTCACTTATCCTGGTTTCTGTTCTTTGCTGGAGAGACAATGCTTTGATGACAATGATCAAGTAAAATGAGAGGGGCGGAGTCCTTCAATCCTGTCCTAGCAGCCAAGATTTGCTAGTTCAGCCCATGGAAACAACTGACATAAGCCCAAAATTGGTCCATGTTTGGTTTCTGCCAGAAAGTGAGTCTTTTTACGGATGCTACTTTCACAGAGGAATCATTTAATGAGAGATTTAATTAGTGATTACATTCTAGCACAGTAGATGCCTTAAAACATGAAACATGAAGGTAATAAGGAACTAGTTGCAAAGGTATAATTCTTATTTTTAGAGCATTGTGCACATTAATAGCTTGTGGGAAATCCATACTGGCTATGGCATGCTAGAATTGGGACACCTTTAAGTGATTCCTTGTTAGTGTTTTCTGGGCTACCCTGACACTTCGTGTGCTGTCTTCCTGGGTCAAGAGTGGCATGAGCTCACAGTGTAGAGAGCAAAGGCCCATGCAGTCCTGTGGCCTTGAGGCCGTAGGACCTCGTGGGTGCCTACCATTCCATGTGAACCTTCCCCCGCCCTGGCTCAGGCTTTGTCAGAGGCTTTCTAAGTGCCTTTCTGTGTCTTGCACGAGGTTGTGTCCAATGGAGCATACCTAGGGAAAGGAATTATGTTGCTGGTCCTTTGAACTGGCTGGTATATCATGGTGCAGTCCACTCATCATCTGAGAGCGGAGCAAACCACTCAGTGAGCCTTGCTCTGAGCCCAGGGCGGGGCTGTTCTGCCTCTGTTTCCTTCTGAAGGCTGCCTTACATGAGGAAAGACGTCCTCATGGTTTAAATGTCTTTTCTTTCTATTAAGAAACAAATCTTGGGGCCCACGCTGTGGCATAGTGGGTAAAGCCACCGCCTGCAGTGCTGGCATCCCATATGGGCACCAATTCGAGTCCCTGCTGCTCCACTTCTGATCCAGCTCCCTGCTAATGTGCCTGGGAAAGCAGCGGAAGATGGCCTAAGTCCTTGAGACCCTGCACCAATGTGGAAACTCCTGGCTCCTAGCTTCAGATAGGCCCATATCCTGCCGTTGCAGCTGTTTGGGGAGTGAACCAGTGGATGGAAGATTTTCTCTCTCACTCTGTGTGTGTGTATGTGTGTGTGTATGTGTGTGTGTATGTGTGTGTGTGTGTGTATCTCCTCTCTCTGAAACTCTGCCTTCCAAATAAATAAATACATCTTAAAAAAAAAAAAGAAGAAGAAGAAGAAAATCTCGAAGTCAGAGCTTCCTGGAAAAGCTCCTCAGGCCAAACCCCCCCCATCCTCTCCCCTTCCCAGACTGTCAGCCAGACCCTCTGGACCCTCTGAGGCTGGAGAGGGTTCTGTCTTGTGAAGAAGCCCCTCTGAGCCTGAGCAGCTCTCATGCTGGCAAGTGCCCTCTATGGACTGCAGCCGCCTCCTTGTAATTTTCCACAAGTAGCCACAGTTCCTGAGGGTTGGTTCAGCTCCTTTCTCTTGGTCATGCCTCCAGGAGAGCCCCAGGAGGACCCTTCACTCCTACACAGATTCTTCGCTAGGAGAGCACCAGGGTCACCCACCAAGAACATCAAATATAATCTCAAATTACCCCAGTTAGTGGCCCCCCAGGGGGTAAGGAAATTTGATGACTTTGAATTTCCCCGTGTAAACTTAGGCCTCATTGAATGTGTGGCTCATGAACTCTATCATTTTCCAAGAAGGAAAAGATCCCAGCTATGCTTCAGGTGACTGTAGAATTCAGTGTTGTGACATACTGCAGGCTAAAGTATGCCTGGTTGCCCAGGTAATCAATTATTAGGTGTAGACTTCATTGTGGCAGTGGGCAGGTAGGTGTAACTTAAGTCAGAACCTTCAGGGGAATGTGTAGAGGGGAGATAGGAAGACTTAGGGTTTTACAAATTAATCATTAAGGAAAATAGATCATATCACCCAAGGACAGAATAATTCATGTGGGGGATCTTATTTCACTGAGGGTTCTGAATTATTGACTAAATTATCGATTGCCCAAGAAACAAAAAACACTTATCAGAACAGAACATAGCATTTGCAGCTGGTCTTTCCAGTTTCTCCTCCTCTTCCTCTCTTTGCAAATACTGTCACGTTTTTCTCTACGGGATAG